CACTTGACAAAATATTCAAATGATTTAGCACGTGATTACGCGCGGCATATCATTTGGAAAGGAAAAACCGTATGTGTATGGGTAAAAAGTGTCATTTATCGTGTCGTTTGGAAGTGCATGTTGTCATGTACTAATTTTCAACGTGATAGTTTGCTACGCGGCGTTTATGTCTCCGTACTAGCCTCAAAACCGTGACGTGGAATGGCGTGTGGACACGGTTGTGAACTGCACTATCATGTACTTGAGTACTGAGATGTCATATTCCAGATGAAAGCACGTCTGAAATCCCTTCCCATTCTATCATTGCGTGTAGCCCTCCTCACTCACGCACATGATTTTTCACAGGTTTTTGCAGATGAGACGATAAACCGCGCGAAAGAAGGTGTGTCTATGCCGGCCTATTGTCTATAAGATTTACCTATATTTGTGAGAGTACAAAAGGGCGTTTATTTCAAAAACTGTTCATTATTGGGCTTTGGCGCAATGATAACTTTTATTCAGGATATCGAGCTTGACACACTATCAAAAAATCTCTCTTGCAATTTCATTGAGCGATGTTGCCGGATGAAACATTTATCAAAATAAAAGTGCAAACGATGTTTATCCACTTTAAATCTCTTCTTTTGTCTGATTTAAGGCGTTGTGAAACACTTGAGACTATAATACTTCTTTAATGTTATAATGTTCGATTTGTATTGTCTACATTTGTTCTGCAACAATACAATCTAGCTACACTGCAGCCTACGAGTTGCGCGCGCATGTCATCTTTTATTGTTTTCTAACTTGTATTTATTACAATGAAGCTTCCTTTTTCTAATCATGGGAGATAGGTCTATTAATTTTTTGATGTCATTGTCTATAAGATTTACCTATATTTGTGAGAGTATAAAAGGGCGTTTATTTCAAAAACTGTTCATTATTGGGCTTTGGCGCAATAATAACTTTTATTCAGGATATCGAGCTTGACACAATATCAAAAAATCAGACGATTTGACATAAACACATTTTCCCTAAGTTTTGTGCGGGGTCCATTTTCGGAAAATCTGTCATTTTCATTTATTCTAGCATTTTATGATCCGAAATTTTGGAAATTTATTGTAGGTGTGCTACTCTATGTTCTCCGTTTTTCATTTGAATCCATGACCAAAATTTGCATATTGTTTTCAACAAAATTGCTATTAATTTTACTTTTAGACTGCGGATTTTTCAAACAAAAATGCGTCAACCTATACTTCAATCTATTATTCTTATGAACATAACTTCATTTTACTGAAAAGTGGTCTAAATTTGGAACTGAGCAGAAATTTGTGAAGGTTTGTAAATAGCGTTTTATTTAAACGGCTCTCTTAATAAAAATAAAATAATCAAAAAAGCATTAAAACATTTGAAGACCATCCATTAATAAACCCTATAAATCCTACAAGAGACCTACATAAGATTGAATATGCTTATATAGCGACTGGAATCCCTACTACGTTGAGGATGTCGAGGGCTTGGAGGAAGTGCAAATATGCGTTACTTAAAGTTCGCATTAAAATCAAAAAATAAAACGTATAGTGAAAGACTGAAAACCCTAAGACTAACAACCCTAAGAGCAAGAAGAATGCGAAGTGATTTGAACGAAACTTATGAAATAATTAATAACCATTATTCGTGCTGTTTATTAAACCTTTATAACAATCAAAATTTAAGAGGTAACTCAAAAAAACTTTCCTAAGAAAAAATACGCAAAATTTCGAATAAAGACATTTTATTTTATTTTTTTTTTGAAATCATATAAGGGTTATTTCGTTCTCTATTGTTTGCAGTACTGAATAACTTGATCGATCTTGTCAGGATTTGCGAGCCAGAAACCATTAAAACGTTTCGTTCTCAAAAATTCAGCTGCGGAAGCTGGGAAGTTATTCATTATGTTATAGATTCCCAATTCAAGTGCTGATTCGATTGGGAAAGCTATGACACCATTGAGTCCTGTGAGGGTCACCTATGGAAATAAGTACAATAAATATTTAACTACCAATTTTAGTTTAGGTCTTAGAGGTAGAATTCGTGTTAAAATAATCACTATACTCACATCAACACTTTCAGTTTTAGAATGGAGAGTGAAGTCATCCAAATTTTCTTTAACTCCTTCTTGGCCTGGCTTAGTAAGGTTGAAAATACCACTCCAGTTGATTTCACGCATTACAATACTATAAATAAAAAAGAATATTCAAGTAGGTACCTATTTGATACAATAGGTATTAGTGATGTATTCATTTACAGTACACCGATTCTAATGTAGGTAGGTACTGTAAATTAAACTTGTTCTTTCAAATGTTCACAGACATCAACTATCAATCAAAACAGTAATCATTGTGCCACCGTTAGTTTAGAGATAAACACAGCAAAAATAATGACACAGAATCATACTTACTTGTAAGTTCCCTTAAAATGTTGTTTCAAAAACAAGGTGGAAATATTAACTTCGAAGTTGCCAGTAAAGTTCAATTTATGCCAGTAAACGTTGTAGTCGAAAGCAACTCTACCAGGGTTTTCGTAGCTGGTAGCGGTCAAAGTTGTAATGTTGAAGTCAATCAAGTTGTAAAGGGTATTATCAGTGATGCCGAAAGAATACCTAATAGAGGAAAAATAATAAATAATAGTTATTTTTGTCACAAGTACCTAAAATGAAGTTTTTCAGGACGAATCATTGCTGTTTCCGGACGAGGCGTTAGCCGAGTCCGGAATAGCTGAAAAACTTCGTTAGGTACATGTGACAAACACTATTTTTTGTCATACGCTTTCTAGAATTCTACAGAACGCTAAAATTTGCAAAATTTCCTTAATTTTTGAAATCGTAAAGGTGCATCCAGAAAGAAGACAAAAATTCTAAAAAGAAGCATTTTACGGACTTGAATGAGTCCGTAAAATAGCTGTTTTTCGGAGCGTCTGACAAAAAAGTTATTTTATGCAATATTAGAAACTAATAAAGAAATACTGATACGTCTAGGGATGGATACATCAGATACTAGATAAGAAAGAAGTTGTACTTACTCTGTTAAAAGTTTTGACCCGTTATAGAGAACATCTGAAATTTTCAATGGGTTATGGTTCGGAATTGGAATAGATGGGATTCCACCATCCATGGCTTTGTGACAGCATTCGAGGAAGAGTTTGCACTTTTCCAGATCATCAGTTTCTAAGAAAGATTAATAGATTTTAGTTAATTACATTGCAAAATACCAACGTGAAAAATCAACATTTGTAGTTTTAATTTGAAAGTAAATAATATATTTTGGTACTTACCAGAACTACTGGCCAAGCCTACGAGAGCAACCAAAGCTAGGAAGAACTTCATTTTTGTTGTGTCTTCTCAGAACTATATCCATGAGTAGTTCTCTCGATTATTATATAGCATTTTTAAACATGCCAGTAACTTGAAAAGATAGCCCATAAAATGATTACAAACTAGAATATCAGCACTTCACAATGGGAAAGTCGATTCAAGTACCTACTTTAAATTTATTTAAGATTGAATATATCAAAAATCTAAGTGTCTTGATTTGCACACTTTCGCACTTAGACCCTTTCGCACAATGATCAGATTATTCTAATACCTTTGCGCGTCACACTTTATCATCTGAGCTCTATTGTTTTTTATTACGGTATGAGTGAAATCATGTTTTGGACAATTCTCTATTGTAGTGTTTGAACTTTGATACAGCTTTGAATGTCGAACAAATAATAGGTCTGTTTGTTATCCTCCACTAGTGCACAATAATTTACACTTTTCTGCACTGAGGCGTTTGTTATGCGGTTAGTGCAAATAGTGTAAGGCGTTTGTTATCTCAGTGTAGGGTGCCCAATCATGCACTACCTACACCTGCTCAAGAGGAGGTGTAACAAGTGCAGAATGGGGAGGGGGCAGTGTTGTTGTTTTGTTTTGTTTGTTGCTCCTAACCTGAAACCTTAAAATAAGATTTATTATATGGCGATTTCGACTGGATTGCACTTTCGCACCCAGTGCGAACTTTTTTTAAAAATTGACAGATAAACAATACTTTACACGTCAATTGCCAAAAAAAGTTCGCACTGGGTGCGAAAGTGCAATCCAGTCGAAATCGCCGTTAGAAATTAAATCTTAAATGTTAGATGAAATATATTGATATGCTCTAAAAATGAGTAGTGAAAGTACAAATACGCAAGTGCAATTCAATTGCATGAATTTATTTTGTCGTCAGAGCTGGAAGATAGGGAATCTGAGGAATTTTCTTCATCTTCCGACTTCCTCTATAATTTCCGACAATAAAACCTTGTAAATATGTTATCTTTTTCGTTAATATTGGACATTTTTTTCTGGGTTAATTTCCATTTTCCACTTTAATTTACCCTAATAATAATTTTTTTGAGGTTAGATATCCGCTTCTATCGCTTCACGAACTGCACTGTCTGCACTAACGCGTTTGGTAGTTTTCCTTTACCCTGGTGGCCATGAGCTACACCAGCAGCCTGCACTGACCTACCCTACACGGATATAACAAACACACCTCATATTGCAGTTATGTAAAAATGTATCTAAGAATTTAATGATCACCAAATAAAAGCAAGAGTTGTATGGAGATCATTTATTTAATGTATGGCACTGGAATTCATCCATCCATTCGCAGCTTAATTGGTGAATTTAAAAAGCCTCTGAACGACAAGTTCAATAACTTAATGCGTGCAAACGGTGACACTGCATTTCAGCCGTTAAGTTCTGTTTTTGAATCGTTCTGAGAAAGTTTGAGAAATAAGACCTCCAGATCGTTATTAATAATTTACTTTTGAGTGTACAATCCTTAAGAAGATGTCTGTTGTAGATTATGATGGTAAATAGGCCCTCACTATTTTTTTTTTTGTAGAATCATTGATGCTAATTTGGATTACAAAAACCGTTGATTGGGGAGTGAGGCGCAAAATTTCGAATAAAGACATTTTATTTTATTTTTTTTGAAATCATATAAAGGTTATCTCGTTGTTTATTGCCTGCAGTGCTGAATAACTTGATCAATCTTGTAAGGATTGGCGAGCCAGAAACCATTGAAACGTTTCGTTCTCAAAAATTCAGCTGCGGAAGCTGGGAAGTTATTCATTATGTTATAGATTCCCAATTCAAGTGCTGATTCGATTGAGAAATCTATGACACTATTGAGTCCTGTGAGGGTAACCTATGGAAATAAGTACAATAAATATTTAACTACCAATTATAGTTTAGGTCTTAGAGGTAGAATTCGTGTTAAAATAATCACTCTACTCACATCAACACTTTCAGTTGTAGAATGGAGAGTGAAGCCATCCAAATTTTCTTCAATTCCTTCTTGGCCTGGCTTAGTAAGGTTGAAAATACCATACCAGTTGATTTCACGCATAACAATACTATAAATAAAAAAGAAAATTCAAGTACCTATTTGATAGAATAGGTATTAGTGATTTATTCATTTACAGTACATCGATTCTAATGTAGGTAGGTACTGTAAATCAAACTTGTTCTTTCAAAATGTTCACAAACATCAACTATCAATCAAAACAGTAATCATTGTGCCACCGTTAGTTTAGAGATAAACACAGCAAAAATAATGACACGGAATCATACTCACTTGTAAGTTCCCTGGAAGTGTTGATTCAAAAGCAAGTTGGAAATATTAACTTCAAAGTTGCCAGTAAAGTTCAATTTGTGCCAGTAAACGTTGTAGTCAAAAGCAACTCTGCCAGGGTTTTCGTAGCTGGTAGCGGTCAAAGTTGTAATGTTGAAATCAATCAAGTTGTAGAGGGTATTATCAGTGATGCCGAAAGAATACCTAACAGGAAAAATAATAAATAATAGTTATTTTTGTCACAAGTACCTAAAACTTCGTTAGGTACATGTGACAAACACTTTTTTTGTCATACGCTTTTTAGAATTCTACAGAACGCTAAAATTTGCAAAATTTCCTTAATTTTTGAAATCGTAAAGGTGCATCCAGAAAGAAGACAAAAATTCTAAAAAGAAGCATTTTACGGACTTGAATGAGTCCGTAAAATAGCTGTTTTTGGGAGCGTATGACAAAAAGTTATTTTATGCAATATTAGAAACTAATAAAGAAATACTGATACGTCTAGGGATGGATACATCAGATACAAGATAAGAAAGAAGTTGTACTTACTCTGTTAAAAGTTTTGACCCGTTATAGAGAACATCTGAAATTTTCAATGGGTTATGGTTCGGAATTGGAATAGATGGGATTCCACCATCCATGGCTTGGTGGCAGCATTCGAGGAAGAGTTTGCACTTTTCCAGATCATCAGTTTCTAAGAAAGATTAATATATTTCACTTAATTACATTGCAAAATACCAACGCAAAAAATCAACATTTGTAGTTTTAATTTGGAAGTAAATAATATATTTTGGTACTTACCAGAACTACTGGCAAAGCCTACGAGAGCAACCAAAGCTAGGAATAACTTCATTTTTGTTGTGTCTTCTCAGAACTATATCTATCAGTAGTTCTCTCGGTTATTATATAGCATAGTCTAACATTATCATAATATTTTATCTATTGCATTTTTAAACATAAAGCCAGTAACTTGAAAAGATAGTGCAAGAAAATTATTACAAACTAGAATATCAGCACTTCACAATAGGAAAGTCGATTCAAATACCTACTTTAAATTTATTTGAGGTTGAATATATCAAAAATCTAACACTGGTATTCATAGTCAAACGCTGGCGAAGCGCCAAAAAGAATCGCTCGCTGGTGAATACTCCGGCGAGCGGATGGTTGGCGGAGGAAAAAATGTGCTTTTCATAGTCAAGCGTTGGAGAATCACTGGCGGGCGGAAGGTGATGAAAATACTGGCGAGTCGCCGACGCATCGTATGAATTGTACCGAATCTCCGAGTTATTTTCTGGATGTAGTAAAGGAGTCATACACTGGTATTCAAAGTCGACCGCCAGCGACTCGCCGGTTGGAGATTTGCTGAAAATCTCGTTTTGCGTTTCAGAGTCGAGCGCCCGCCGAATCATGCATGATGACTTCCGTTACTTCACTTCTCGAATCTCTCGCCGGCGGGATGTTGCACAATATTTTGTTTTTACGTTTCATAGTCATTCTCCAGCGAAAGATCACATGCGCTGTTTCAAAATTATAGGTGGTTTTCAGCTGGGCGACTGGAGCCAGTCCTATGGTTCTCTAGCGACGCGCTAGTTAATACTTTCATGTTAAAACCAGATCCATTTGATCATGGAAAACTTTTATGACATTGTGCGAATAAATGCAAAAATTGATGAAGTGGACGATGTAAATTTTTTTCCACCTATAATGCCCAATAGTTATTTTCCTAACAAGTGCGCAAAGTGTTACTTTTCCGCACGCAAACACAGTTATACGAACGACGCGAAGCGGAGTTCGGATACGTGTTTGCGTGCGGAAAAGACACTTTGCGCACGTGTTAGGAACAAAATTTTTCCTACGAGCTTCATATCAGGTAGGTAATAACAAAAATTTGAAAAAAAAACCGATAATTTGTTTAATTATTTTTAATTAACTTGAAGGGAACCTATGCATTTATCAAAAAATTACATAACAAAAAAAAATAACAGAAAATCCTCGTCAGAGCTGTTCATCTTAAAGCGTTTAAATTTGATGAGAAAGTTTGTAGATTTTTGCATATAAATAGAGAACAAATCGGATGTGTCAAAGTTAATTTATAATTGGTGTTTGTATAGATGTTGGCTGATATAGAAATAGAGGAAAAATTTGTCATCATGTGTCAAAGTCGACAGGTGCACTTATTGTTGCTTGACAATTATAATTACTTTTCGGCACTCAGTGCGGATAAGGCCTGTATCCGCACTGAGTGCGGAAAAGTGTAACTTTGAGCCCGGAAATGCGTGCGGAAAAGTACTACTTTGCGCACGCTCGTAGGAAAAAGATATATAAGGGACATTGAAAACCTCATTGAATTTTACATTGACTTCCAGTTTAAACGTCGATACAGATTCAGCAAAAATGTGGTTATGGAGCATTTTATTACACTAGTGGAACCAGGGTTATTAAAAGTTAACCAGAGAGGTTTGCCAATACCTCCCATAATAGCATTATAGTGCGCGTTAAGATTTTATGCGAATGGAAGTTTTCAGGAAGGTGCTGTCTTATTTTCAATTATTAAAATATTACTTCCCTCTCTTCATTTCTCTTATTTTCGATGTAAAAGAAATTATTAAATATATATTATTCCTACTAGTTACCATCATTTTATTTTTATAGCTAACGTGTGGGGATCTTCGAAGTGTGTCACAATTAACTGTCAGCAGAATAATTAGATAAATTTAAACAATTTTTGTCTCTGAAGCACGCAATACTATTAAAATGCCTACAGCACCTGCCGATGAACAGCGTATCTTTGAACAATTTTATCAAATTGCACAATTTCCTAAAGTTGTTGGTTGCATAGATTGTACACATATACTAATCAAAAACTCAGGCGGTCCTTTCGCGGAGCTATACCGAAAATATACATTCAGTATTAATCTTCAAGTTGTTGCAGGGCCTAATATGAAAATTATGGATATTGTGCACTATCTCTGAGCTGTAATTAAATGTTACAATCAAACGATTTATACTTAAATAACTCATTTATAGAGCCCTACTACATTAGGTTACAATATTTTTAACCATAACTCTTTTTCTCGTCAAAACATTACAATTATTGAAACGTCCAATACTATAAGCGTAGAAAAACCCACGAATTCGCTCACTGCCAAATTGTACAAAGCTTTACTCAAAATTGTAAACTCAGCCTGACTATTATTACAAAACTACTAAACTAAACTCAGACATACCTAACAATACTATCTCAAATCAATATTACGCATTTAGGTTTTTTCAATCAGATAGAGTTCAAAATATTTAACTATAATCATTATTTCAATGGTCATTATTTTCTAGGTTTATATTTTCTTTTTCCAATTCGCTATCACTGTTTTTCATCTCTCTGTTCCTTACAGGCAATTCTTGTCCTCGTCCTAAGAATTCACCTTCTTCTTGCGCCCTTATTTCATCATTGTCGTCATTAATTTCATTTCGATCGACGATTTCTTAATTCTCGTCTCTTATCATTCTCCTATGGATTAGTGGAAATTCTAAAATATCTATCGTCATTGTCCTCCTCTTTATCGTATTCACTATCTTCGTGATCTGGTGTAGGATCTTTCTATCTTCCAACCCTTTACATGATTTGAGTCTTTCAGCATGTTAAATCTGGTCTTTCGTCCCGTGCAATTCCTTTATTTTGAATGTAACCGGTCTTAACTTCTGAGTAATTCGACTTGGTCCTGATCAGACTTTTCAAGATGGCGGGCGATAATAATGATCCTCCGATAAACAACGGGAATAATTGTAAAGTTTGCAAGAGATCAGCTACTGCAAATATAAAGTGTAAGGGGTGTAACGAAGTATTTCACGCAGCTTGTGCCGTAAGAGTGAAGGGGATTAGGGTAATTGCGTACAACTTGTTATTTTGCCAAGAGTGTGATGATAAATCAGAAAGTGAGGTTACGTACGAAGATCTTCAGGATGTGTTGGTGTTGGAAATACAAGATAAAAACTTCTTGTTGGCAGAAAATAAGATAATTTTTGAGGAAAAAGTCGAGTTTTTGGAAGAAAAAATAAAAAGTTTACAAAAAGAAGTCGATGTTTTCAAAACGAGTAGTAGCGCAAATTCCAACATGGTGCAAACCGCGCAATCAGCTGTTTTGTGAAAACAACAACAACCTATTTGTGCTCCTAACCTTCGAAAAATTCAAAACAAACCCAGTGTGGAATATGATAATAATCATGTTACAGCCCTATTCATGTGTGTCCTTGGATATTGGTTATTGCCTTGGTTATTGGAAAACTGTAAAAATATGGTGGATTGTTATTCAGGTGTTGCTTAGTTGTTGAATTGAATATTGGTTATTGAACGTCATATTGGTTATTGAAATTAACATCGAATATCTTATTCAGGTGTACTATATTTTCCAATAACAGTTTTCAGTGTTTCATATTTTGTAAGCAGGTGGTTCGGGCACCGGCTTGGCAAATTGGATATTGGAAAACTATTGGGTTTTGTGTTATGTTTAGAATTTTTCCTACAACTGCCTTTGAAAATGGAGTTTTTCACATGCTAGGCAACCTCTGAAAATAGAGTTTTTCGCACAGTAGTGTGAGAAACAGTTCTTCACACGCTGCTTATTAGTTTTTTATTTATTATGGTTAATAAAAATTACATATTTGGTTGTTTTATTTTGCATTTGTAGGAAAAACATTGTGAAAAACTCGTTTGAAAACTTTTTTTCACACTCGCTCGACTTGTGGAACTCGCCTAAGTACGGCTCGGTCCAACAAACTGTCTAAGCCGTGTGAAAAAAGTCGTTTTCAAAACTTGATTCAGTAACTATAGAAGTGAGTGGTATTTTATTTTCAATTATGGATGATTTTCCGTTGCTTATTGCAGCATTAGAAGGGAAAAATTAAAGGTGAGGAAGCTCTTTATTCCTGGTGAGTGGTATGAGCTATCAAAAAATCGTCTAAGAAAATCAAGAAGCAGAGTGCCTTGGATAACTATGATCGTATTATACTTTTTAGACTTGAACACAATCAGAAAAAGAATAACCTTTGGGAGACAAGCAATAACCCTTTGGATTTGCCAGAAAATAATTTTAAAAACATCAGCAGGTTTTGAAAAAAATACTGCAAGGTATCTCTATCTAATCTAATTGAGGAAATTGGGCAATTTCTTCCAGATGCAGAACGTCCGCATTGCATCTTGCATCCCAAAGTCTGTGATTATTTTTTTAAGTGCATTGCATTTTTATTGTATTTTCGACGTGCGTTTTTCTTCCATTATAAAAGTGGGTATGAATATGACTAAAGGTTTGTTAGTTTGTGTCACTCTAACTAGTCTAACTTGAACTAAGCTGTAATATTTCTGTATGGCATATAAACCATATAAAACGCTCACAAACAAACGCCCCAAAGCATGAAGGCCGCCCTGAACAACAGAAACAAACAAACCTAAAGAGTCACAAAGAATACCCATGAGAATTGACAAATAAATTCAAATAACTGACGAAGAAATGATAGATATTAAATTCCAATCCAAGTCAGCTAAATCAGGTACTAAAATAAATAAATAAACTCATAAACAACAAAATGAATAGAAAAGTGGGGTTACATTTTTAAGGTTTTTGGCAATTTTACAGTGTTGCCGCCTTAACTTATTCAATTAAAGAACAGTTTTCCAATTTCCAACAATCCCGTTTTCAAGGGGTACACGTGAATAAGAAATCTCTTCAATATTGAAATGTCTCAATATCCAATATTGGAAAATTTCAATAAACAAGTGGACACGTGAATAAGGCTGATTGTTTTGAAAGTTAAAAAAAACACAACAAACGAGGACCAGAAAATCGCCCGCAAAGAATT